GAGGGCCTCTGTAACAGGTAACAGCAGCGGACAGCTTAAAGCTATTGGTGAAACTTTGAAGCTTTTGGAGGGGACTTTAGGGTCCGTTGGAGTAGCAGTCAGTCGATGTAGATGCAGAACAACTTTACAAATCTGTGTAGAATGTACCGTCATCGGGAATGAAATGCTTACCAATATAATTAGCCTATAAATATATGTTCATGTGCTTACTTCATAACGTTTATATTTATTTTTGATGTACATAAAAATTGCTATAACATTTGAAAAGGCTGGCCATTAGGGGTGAAATCTTAACATGGTATCTCAGGGGTATTAATGTTAAGCAAGATTATCTAACTACCCCTGAGTAGGCAGGGGAAAAGGAGAACTTGACGAAACTTCTGCAAGTCACAGCAAGCAGGGGTAGTTTTCAGACACCAAGAGAGCACGGACATTAGGAGGGGTGGAAAGAGTGGAGCTACAATCTCTGTTAGGCGAGCTGTAAGCAGAGAATTCACGAAAACATTGCAGTTTCTAAACAGGCAGTGGTATGTGAAGCTAAAATTTATCCAGTAAAGGATTTTTATTCGACAAATAGTTGGATAAAAATTGGTAATATAAATAAACGAAAAAAAATTAACTGAGAACAATTTAAACTAAAAAGTAAACAGGTTTTCCCTTCTGCTGTTAACTGACTTTCTGGACGGAATGCTTTCAGACTTTTATGGCTTAGCTTTTTCACCAACACCACCTAGAGGAGCCGAGCTTTGCGAGCCTCGATTGCAACTATCGTAAATCGCCCGTTTTATAGCCGAAACTTGCACCATAAAGTGCACTATAATGAAATTTGCACTGAACTACATTGGAATCTCCTTAGAGGGGAGAGCTACTTTCTGGGGAATTTGGAGCCCCAGCTATTTCCCAACCTGAGCGAACCTCACTGGGTCAAACCCATCCTATCCCCAGTTGCACGCTTTTCAGCGCGCTAAGCACATTTTTTCGTCAGACCCTTAATTTCCTAGCATTCGCTCGACACTTTTATGGTATTCATGACTCCTCGGATTCCCCCTTCTCGCAGCCCCATCCAGAGATGTCCTACATCTCTCGCAGGTTGCCGCCGTGCGAGCAGCTCACGTATAAATATTTTACGACGTCCTTCAGTCATTTACTTTTATTGCAATATTTGCTCACTCAACGTTTATGATGATCATTTTAAGCCATTTTTATGGCCAGCTGCTGCCTCTGCTGCTCTGCATGAATCACAGTCGGCCCAAGGTGATGGTCAGAGGGATGCAGGGGACATGTGAGTGCCCCGAGTCCCTTTCATTTGTATGTCTGTCTGCGTGGAAAAGCTCCACCTACGTTGCTAAATATTTGTCTGCCCCCAGCTCCTCCTCCTGGCCCTCCCAGCACTTGGCTACTTTGCTGCTTTTTATATAAATGGCAGCTCATTAAATTGCTGGCATCGTTTTCGCCAGCCGAGGGGTCAAAAGCGCAAATTGGCCAGGTGTGTTTGGGTGTTCCAAGATGTGCGTGAGGAGGCGGGAGCAGAAGGAAGGAGGAGGGTTTGGCTACGTACTTAAAGTACATCAGGCGCAAGGATTCTAATTTGCACACAACACTGGTGGTCAGCCACTTCTCACCTCATTTAAGCAGCTGGCCACGTAATGAGCAGCAACTTTGGCACTTGCACGTGCCTCGTCCACCCAGAACTATGTCAACGTCCGACGAGACTCCGAATTGTAGCAGGTCCAGGCCCATAACCAAAGCCGAAAAGTGTGTTAAAGTTTCCGGCACTCCACTTAACGCTCGATTGCTTAGCCCCGAGCACTTCGTCCTTTCACTGGGTCTCGAGTGCAGCCCCCAGCCCCTTTGAAAAGTGCAGGACGGGATGGCACAAATTGCACTTCATTTGATTTAAATTGATACGATGCCAGCTTGCATTTCATTTGCAAAATGGAAGGACTAAAAAGTGGATTGAAGCAGTCCCAGTTATAAGTTATAATGGCCTGACCACAACATCCCACTTGACGTCGACCGAAAGACCTGCTCAAGTGCTTGGCCAGCAGTTGAAAGCAAAATTTTGTCATCTCAATGGAGATTGAAAAGTCACTTTGTGCAGGAGTAGTGCTCCTCCCCCTTTTACCACTCACCATCCCGTGGCCATTTGCTGTGAGTGTGTGTGGCGTACTTGAGATTACCAAATTACAGTTGCACAATATTTGAGGCATACACTTAGGCGCACTTAGGGCAGAAGCCACTTTGGGTTATCAATAACCATCTAAGCCTTCATCCACGGAGAACTTTTGCACGGCCGCCCGATTGGCGGGCACTCCTGCTGGGCGCCTAAAAGGCGGCTGCACTTTTTGTCTGTTACTTTCAGTCCCTCAAACTGTCATTTTGTTTGTTTGCCAGGAGCACAAGAGGAGGCATTCCCGCGCCGTGGGCGGCCGTGCTCCAGTAAACTTTGCCGAGTCGACAAAAGCAAAAACGCTGGCAAAGTAACACATGATTGGAGATTCCCGAAGTCGGATGGAAAAGCCAGCAAACTTGGGCCAAAGTTCGACATAGAGCAGTCGGGCTTAGTTTCTAATTCAATTTGTCAAGCTGCTTTGGTCCGGTTATCGTCCCCGAAAGTCCTTGCCAAACTGTCCACAATAATCCAAAATTGACTAACCAAATAGAAATCACACACAACAGAAAAGGCAATGAAGCGTTTATCCCATGTTATTCAATTGAACATTTGCAAAAAATTAAACACAGTCTGCAGTCCGGGCACCAACAAATGCAAAAAGCGCCCCTGCCCTCTTGTAATCTGTCTGCCACCCCGAGCCACCCTCACACCCACCGGTCTTCGCCACCCCTCCGTGGGGTGAGCCAACAATTGCAATTGCAGGTCCCCCAAACACGAAACACCGAACCCGGACAGAAACCCCTACGAAACACAGTCCATTGCACACACATCGACATTGACAAGTACATGGGCATAATAAAGTCTTGGAATTTATTTTTATGTGCATATAATAGAGGACTGCACCCTCGGCCCTGCCCCATGGTCCCCCAGAGAGGCATTTCATCTGGCAAAGCGGAATATTTTATGAGTCCAGAAAAAACACACTGCCAGTAAACCCTTGTCCAATGCGTTTCGAGCCGGGCCTAGTGCGCATCGAATTTTCGAATTTGGCCAATATTTGCTTAGTCATTCCGAGATTATCCTAATTGAGAATCTCGGCGTTGAGCTTGGAGGTCTTTCGGCCGAGTCAAGGGGTGATGCCCCCTTTCGAGGGCTATCGATAAGACCGACCTCAGATAGAAAGATATGTGCCAAGTCCTGGCAGCATCCTTCAAATGAAGCGGAACCATGAAATTGTCGCAATCAAAAGTAGATGGCACTGGGAGAAATGTTTGTTTAATATTAGAGAAGACTCAACCTGGGGTGACCCGTGCAAGCTCTACTACTTCGCCAAGTGTCCTCCTCCCCACGACTCCGGACAAATGAAACTCAAACAAGGCCGGATCTTGACCACTTTCTCCCCCATCTGTCAGTCTGCTGTCACAATTCATTACGAGTCCTCAATGCTGGGCAAAGAAAACATAAATAAAGTTTTTGTTTTAGATTTCGTGACAAATGTACAGAAATGGCAATTTCCATCAACTTTGAGACCCCTTCCCCTCCAAGTAGAATTATCGCTGGAAAGAAAATATTTGCACAGGCGAAAGGTTCGAGGATTCTGGCCAGTCCAGGCAAGTGCTCGACGGACGGGTGAACCCACGCAGGAAGCCGAATGTCGGGGCTAAAAAGGATTACTTATCGCATATTTTGACATAAGTTAAGTTCATCAGTGAAATACGAGAGTCAATTGTTCGGTTCGAATGGGTAGAGAGAAGGGAGGGAAGCAGTGGATGGGGCGTTAAACCAATGTCCAGACAGACAGACGGCCAAAGGCGTGCGATGGGTCAATTGTGATAAGCCGAATGTCCGAGCCACCCCTGACTGCTCCTTTGTTCTAGGCCCACTTCTGGCCGGCGTTTATTTGCATTCGCCCTTGTTTGTGTTTGCAGTGAAATCGAGGCAGGACGAGCCGAACGAGCCAGGACGTCTGTAAAATTGGTAAATATCTATCGAACAATTGACAGTTTAGGGGCGGATCCCGGCAAAAACCCGACAATTGACGGGCAGCATTCTGGACATATGCAAGGGCCAATCCCAGCTCGGGTTATTTACAATGTGAGCGGAAAATAATGCCAAGATTTGTAGCGGCAAAAAGGATAGAAATACGGCTTTATTTTTGGGTCTAGGCATTTTTATGTCAATCAACCTAAAAATCAAAGGGATTCCTTTTTTATGAGCTTATAAAAAGAAAATTTGGACAATGCTGAATACTCCTAAGTGTTGTGTTAATTATGTTTTGATTAATAGGATGGAAGACCCTTTAAGGAGCCCACCCACTGGCTTTAAACCAGCAAAGTATCATACAGAAAGCTTCCGGCATCTGGCGTGCATCCACGCTGATATCCGGAGACTGAACTAGTCAGCCATCCACAAGTCAAAACAAAACACGCCGAACAACTTCTGGTAAGGAGTCGAGGATACAACATCGAAGCTGCCCTGTCTGCTCATCCACGGCTGCGCCTGGTTGTAAAGATATAAAATCAGACAACTGCAACAACAGGGCTTCCATGGAAGGAGCCTGGCGCAAGTAGCGGCCAAGGAAGCCAAAGGACAGTCGGTGGCTGTGTCCCAGCCCTCTGGACTGTCAGCTGCAGCGGCGGCGATTTGTAGCGCCACAAGGATAATCACACTTTTAATCGTGATTTAAGTTTATGGGGCTGGGTGCTCGTTTAGTTTCCTGTTCCTTGTTACTAGTTTCTTGCAACAACGACGATGCATCTCGCAGCGTCTGCCATGATTTTTTCAATTCCTTTCTCACGGCTTCATCGGACTCGTCCTGGCAGGACTTCGAGGCAGGAAGAGGGGAGCCGTCTGCTTGTTAAGTTTGCCGCTTTCATTTTTATATTTTTTAATGATTTTTATTGCATAACTGGTGGCGTCTGCTCGACCTACGGCCCATCCCTGGCCTGCCAGGCAATTGCACTTTGCCACATTTTATGGCCGATCCAAAGAACGAAGCCAACAATGGCAGCAAAGGCTAGGATATGATGTGGACGCTGGAGGGCAGACTTCAGTGGCCTCTCCTTTCACGATAGCTTTAAGCCAGAGACAGTGGAACATCCGATAAGTCCGAATACATATACACATGGCTGTGATGACTCAACCCCACTCGGATAATCATGGCGAATTACCACTGATCCGCATTCCTTTTGGCCAAACTGCACCCACATAAATCCCGGAACCGCACACCTTTTCCGAGCGCTTCCTGCGTAATTTGTTGCTAAACAAACTCTCATTTACCTCTTGCTCTGGCAGGGACCACTCTCCGGTTCGTTTACTTTTACAAATTATAAGCACTCACATAAATTTCACTTACTGCCGCCGGACTGGGCGCCAAGTTCGAGCCTCGTTCGGGTCCTGAGACTGAAGCTGGCTCTGAGCTATGAGCACCGAGGACTTTTTGCGAGACGTAATTAGAAGGAGAGCCCGGCAACTGGCCAACTTGAGGTGATGCAAGCAGGAAGGCGGGATTGGGAGGGGATTGGCCACTTGAAATGCAAATTGCGTGCAAATTATGGCAAGCTGGCATCCAACCGGGCAGGTGAACAAGCTTCTCCTCGCCGGCTGCTCTTCTGATTCATTGCGAAGGTGCGCAGGAAAAGGAAATATTACTTAGCAGTTCCGGAAAGTTGTGTTTTTAATTGCAGGACTGCTAATTCAATTTGCAGCCATGCATTTTACGCATCCTCCTCTTTGTGGAGTTCGGAGTTCCCAATTTCTATATTCTTCAGCACATCGTTTTAACATCAAATCTCTCTAAAGTAGAAGAAACAATGAAGCTTCCCCATCAAATCCAATAAATCACAAAAAGCTTAAATTTGTCTTAATGAAAAAACAAAGTGTGTTCTATCTACTCCGTATTTTAACAAAGTTTTATATTGTAGACTACATTTTCCCCAAATCATGACCATTTTCAGGTAAACATTGGGAGAAGTTTCTATAGTTTAAAATGAAGTTAAAAGCTTTTTAAACTTAACTGTTGTTACTAATAGACCGAGAATGCAGATACTTATACTAATGTTAATGAGACAAATTAAGGTCATAGTAAGTTCATCTTTATGAGAATAAATCTCTAACATTAATGGGATATATAAGTTTAATGAACTCACCGTTATTATGAGTTAGAAAGGCGTTTTCTGCTTCCGAAGAGGATGATCCCTGGTGGTCATTGTTGGCGTTGGAGGAGGATGATGAGTTGGAGAAGTCGTAGGGATGGGGCAGGCTGTTTGTGCCGCCGGCGGAGGCAGCCAGGGCCTTGAACAGGTGGGCTGTGCGCTGCTGCGTCTGCTGCTGCTGCTGCTGTTGCTGTTGTTGCTGCGGCGGAATGTAGGGATTGTTGTAGATGTTCCGACTGTCATTCGATGGCTGCAGGTTGTATTGGTTCTGCTGCTGTTGGAGCGTGTTATTGGCACTCAGAAGACCGTTGACCGTGAAATGCCGGGATTTGGCTGAAAGAAGAGTAGGTAGAATGTATAAAGCGGAACTCGATGGATGAAGAGGGAAGTTAAGCTTTTTACTTGTCATGGCAGTTGCTGCTTTCTCCGCTTAACTCCTGCCACGCCCACCCCGCCTCCTTGCGCCTAATTGCATGCATTGAAATATGCAAATGAGGGCAAGGGTGTGTAAGAGTGTTCGCTTCAATTAAAGCATTTTCCCTGTCATCTGGCGAAGGTTTGAGGTTTTCACTTTTCCACCGCTCATCGTTGCCGCCTATTGTTGCTTTTCTCATATGAATTATGCATGACAATAACAGAAACAACGACTCAGGCCCCCTGCTGCCTCCTGCCCAATGTTGTTGCTGTTTTGCGGAAATAATGTTGACGCGGAAGCTGTGATAATGAAGCAGGCAAAAAGCAAAGTGTCGCCTCGGCCTAACCCCACAACCCCCCTCCTACTGCCAACAAAAAAATTATGCTAACCCTTTCTATTTCCCACAAGCAGCCCGCTCGGAAAAGTTCCTCCTTGCCGACTGCTCGTGGCTTTGTCGTAGTTGTTGTTGCCGCTCTTTGCATATTAATTATGCATGTTTTGGTTGGTGTGAAGGCATCAACACATTGTTTGAATTTTAAGCAACACAAGCGGCGAAATTAGGGGTAAACTGCTCACCCGTCGGCGAGGGGAGACTCTGCCCTGCACTCGGCCTTTTCGACTGGCTTTCGAGCTGATTTGTTCGGCTTTTGGTAGCCAACTGTGTAAATATGAAGTGCAAAAGATAACGAGCTAATAACTCTGTTCATTGTGGTCGTGATGTGTGGGTGTTAGGTGTGCGGGATGAGGGAAAACGTTATATTACGGATTTCCCAGTATCCAGATTGACAAATAATAATAGATTGACATCTTAAGCTAAAGCAATCTAATACTCTTCTTTACAGTTTAAGAATGTTATCAAGTCAAGAGTTTGACAAATGAAGAGTGAATAATTTGAAAATCGTACAATTTAAGACATTAAACTTCTTCAAAAAGAAAAGCTTACATCTTAAAGTTTATAAAGATTGTTTTTCAAATTTAAGAAACTTGAGAAGAAATTCAATAACATATTAATTCTTCTCTGTTTTTATGTTCCTTATTTTATTTAAACATTTTAACAATCCGAAAATCCTTCATTCCAGCTGAAATCCATCTCTCACCGCTTTTAATATTGCAGCAAGAAATTTCTAAATATTTAGATTGTTTTATCGGGTAACTTTTGGGAGTTTTAAATACTTGACTTACAAAAAAATAAAAAAGATAGTAACGAGTATATTATATGTGAAATTGGTAAGTTTTTAACCTAATCCTTCCACCTTGGATCACGGTAGGGGAGTTAGTCGTCGTTCTAGTTTGTTCTCTACTCAACAGTGTGTATGAGATTGAGCCAGATCATAGATCTCTTATATCTTTATATCCGATCCCTGAAGAACGGATATTTTTCAATTAGGGGAGTTCACTTAACTCCGAGCGCCATCGTCCGCGACGCTTGTATGTTTAGTTTGAGGTACTTAAATTTTAAAAGTATATCGATAACAGCCTACATCTATTCTCATAGTTTCTTGTTTAATATGTATATTGGCATGGTTGTTTGATGATACGTGCATACTCATCTGGATTATTTGCATATTACTGTGAAATTGAAAGGAACAATCATGTATACTGTACCGAATCCCTTACGCAATGACCTTAAAGTATCCCCTTATTATAAACATACTTAAATATTCTAACATTTTCTTTCCCTTTATGCCCCAACCAAGCGCTTATATCCAAGCAATTACCCACTCGGTGCTCATCGCAAACATGTTCCTCTTCAAAGGTCAGTTCCCTCCGATCCTAGGCAAGCCATCAATGTCAATTTCCTGGAGATAAAAATTCCTGGGGCAACACGCGTCGCGGTTTAAAAAGCAATGCCAATAAATTTTCACTAGAACGAATTTATTGGTAAATCCCCACCGTAGGCGGCTTTATGACACAGGCCAGGCCAACTGGAATCAACTCGTTGAAGCCGGGCCAAATCTGCGACGCGTCTAAATGTCAATAAAAAACACATTCGATCCCTGATGGCAAGGGGGAATTTGCCTCGTTTAGCGAGGGAATAATGACACAAAATCGCATAATTCGACGGGGCAGAAAGGGTTCGGCTTGGGGCTTGGAGTCGAAGGCCAGGCCCACAACAAAGAAGCCAAATTGTCGCCCCAGTGAAAGTCAAGGAAGCAGCGTCCAAATGGCCTGATTTAGCAGACGCTTGGGGCACCAACTCCGCAGAGGCAACAACAAAGGAATAAAGCATTTGCGTCTCCATGTGGCGAAGGAAAACTAGCGGCAACAAAAACAAAATAAATGTGTAAAAATTGTGTGGCAATAAAATTTGCGTAAATAGTCCAATTTGCATTGAATGTTGCCCTTATTTATGGGGCCATGCCGCAATCAGGCTGTCCTGGGCCTGGCACTGGGGCGGGAATGGGTCGGCCGGCCTTTGTTGATGTGCTGTTGTTGTTTGCTGCCCTGCCAGCGAAGTGTAAATTTGCCAAATTTTGTTAAAAGCAAAATAAATAAAAATCGTATATACGGGCAATGGCTGGAAATGAAAATGGGAATGGAAATGGAAATGGGAATGGGAATGGGGATGGAAAAGGGCCTGTGAGGGCACTGGGGACAGTTCGAATAGAATTCTATTTTTCAGGATTATCAACGGAACATTTTCGAGCAGTAATGGGGCAGAACTCGAAGACTGATGGTGTGTGTGTTTTTGGAAAACTTCAGGCTTGGGGATGCATGGCCAAGGGGGATTATGTAATCTTGCGCAATCCACGTAATTAATTTACCAACCAATCAATCCGCCAGAGAAGCTCCCTTTGTTTCGCCACAAACTTTGGCCAGACGAAAGCACTCGAAACTTTGCACTCACAATGCCCCAATCAGGTCTCCACCAACAACAACTGGAACAATTAACAATCGATGCAGCCAATTAACAATTAACAGTCCACCCGAAATGGAATCCGGGGAAAGTTGCCGGGGCAAACTTTGCGAGGAATAAAACCTGCGAGGGTGCAACTTTTTAAACCGATTAACCCATGCTTTAAAACTTTATAAATAAATGCCAAATTCCGTATAAATATTTGAAGCCCTCAAAAATATATTCCAAGGACAGTGGCATCGATTGATCCTCATTAACGATTCATGGCCGCCTGATGGATCCATTCGGTATTCACACGCACGACCAATTCGAGAATAACTAATAATAGTCACACTCCCTAAATTGTTTTGAATTGGGCGTTCAAAGGCCTGCAATTATGGGTAAATAAGTGGTCAGAATGCGCCGGGTGTATCACAGTTCTTAAAGGTCCCTGCCACTTAGCCGTGCTTTCAAACTAAGCGCATTAAAACCGCTTGAGGATTGGGTCTGATCCCTAAAACACTTGAACAGATGTCCTGGCATTTGAAATTCACAAAACTAAAAGCAACTGGGGAGATGCGAATGCGAATTCGGATTCGAATGTGAATGTGAATGCCGCTGACTCATCCGCTCGGGAAAAGAGAAAGTCGAGAGCCACAAAAACACCTTGTTGTCCTGGTTGGCAGAATGGCAGAATGGCAGGATGCCAGCGAAGCTGTCAATGACAGTTGGCTGTTGTCACCCCGGCGCATCCTCGGAAGGCCAGGAAATTTGCACAGCTGAGCCAAGACGGCACAGGAGTTATCCGCCTGAATAATTCCGACCAGGATTAGAGGTGGGAGCGAAGAAGGACCTTCGTTGGCCTCTAATGCATGTTTGGCATTTACATAATTTACATTGGAACGGCGAGGGGTGGCTAGCACTTGACTCGACCAGCCCGAAACCCCGGCCTGGCCAAATATCAATTACATCCACGCAATCCGAACAACACGGCCAAAGGATCGGAGATGACACAACAAGCAAATTAATTGAAATCAATGCAAATGCCCAGGGCAGGACCTCGCAGGACTCGACTTAAGGGTTGCTGCACCCCTTCGCGGCTCGGGTTTTTCACTTTCAATAGGAAATCGCATTTGTCAGCGGCTTAAGCTCTGCCTCCGCTCGCCATTGTTGTCAAACATGTCAAAGCAATCGCAAACATTCGGGCCGCCTTTCATTTATTAGCGCAAGTTGAATCAGTTTTACTTTTTCGCTCCTTCGGCTGATCTATGGATTCGATTTCGCGGTTTGCTGGGCATTGGCACCGGACAGATAACGCTCCGATAAATAGAGTCCTGCTCGGCAGCTCGTCCTTGCCGCTAGCCGTCGCTTTCAGTGCTATAAGTAACTCATTCGGAGGGAGGCCTTTGTGCAATATATCAGCCTGCTTCTGGTGGCTTCTGCGGCCATTCAATGGCTCTACGGGCCATATTGTTCCGGAGGTCCTTGAGCATATGCCGCAATTAAATGTGTCGCCTTAAATTAAGCAGAGTTACAGTTTTTAACAGAAAAAGAAACAGAAACTACGTTTTGTGTTATGAAGTGACTTAAAAAGTTTATTGCCAGCTTATTACTTATTCTGGTTCAGTCAGAAAATTATAACTAATAAAAAACTAAGAAAAAGGCAAATAGAGAATAGATACTTTTAAAACTACGATAAATATAAATTCAAGTCAAAGTTCATTTTCCAAGAATCTAATATTCACAAATTTAAAAAGAAGTTACATAGATTGACTTCGATTAATTCAGTAACCATGTATGTGAATGGGAATGGTTAGTGGATAAGACGTAGACGAGGAAGACGACGACGAGAAGATCGAAGCTTAAGAGGAGAATGGAAAGACGAGTTTGAGCGAAGAGTTAACGACGATAAGACCAGCTCAAGAGGAGCAATCGACGACGATTCTATTTAAATAGTGTAATATAAGCATAAGTGTAATTAAAAAAAAACCCCACATGTAGGTACAAAGAAGTAAGGATAAATTATTGTCGACTATTTCCTTACAGTCTTCTTCTATTCCTTCTAAGCATATTCAGTCTGAA